TATTCATCTGAATATGACTCAAAGTTGCACATCTACACTCATGTATGAAAAAGAAAGAAATTTATGTCAAACAATAAAAAGAGAAAAGAAAGAAGTTATAATTACATTAGGAAAAAAGTAAAGACAATGTGTTTTATAATTGTGCATGGAAGAATATTTAATGACGTACGGAAAATGAAAAGAGAAAAAAGTCGGAATAACATAAAAGAAAAGATAATGATATCATTTTAATATGCGAGAAATGCCAAATTCAATCCTAAAAATGACAAATGCATTATGTATATGTACATGACTTTTTTTAACTTCTTTCACCAATTGGTCACAAACATATTTAAACCATATAACCATAGTTTTTTTCCCCAAGAAATGTCAATAGAAAGAGCTATACAGTCTACCCGAAAACCTCCCAACCTATTACATCAAAGAAGCCACCCAACAAAATCGAAAGAACATAACTCGAGAGGAGAAAGAAGCAGGGCTTTCTGCGCCACTCTATGGGCAACCCTGTTAGCAGTCCGAGGAACTGCCCTAAACTCTACAGAGACAGAGACAAAAGAAAGGATAAGGAAGCAATCTCGAAGCACCGGTCCTCCTAGGGAATCAGAAGAAACACTCGTACGAAGCTGACGAATCACCACTTCTGTTTGAAAAATATACAAAAATTTTTTGGTGACCATTGGTGTCTACTGTCTAGTGATATTCTTAAACACATGAAATTTTGTGTACATATCATTGTAGCATATGACTGAACTATGTTGATATATTTCATATATTTATAGTAAGTATTTTCTAACAAATTGCAACATATCTACATTGGTTCACATATTTATAGTAGTTCGTACAAACAAAATGTAAAATTCTTCGTGTTCTAGAATGCGGAAGAAGATTATTCTTTACTTTTTATTTTTCAATTTTAAAAGAAAATCACATGTCAAATTATGTAAAATTTTATAATTGTGCACCAACTAAATTTATGTTTTTCAGATTTTTTAATTATTTTTAAGAAATTATAAACAATTATGAAACATATTATAAGCTAAAAATAATTTATTTGTAGATGTTAGTGATTTTCTTATCAATGCTAAAAAGTAGAATATAAATTTTTTAACTGTGATAGCTATTCTATTGGTTAAAAAATAGTTTTGATTAATTGCATGAAATATATTTTATTCTATTGGTTAAAAATTTGAAATGATTACAGTTTGAGCTTGTAGGTTGCATGATTAAATCCTAGTTATGGTTAATAGCATCAAATATACTTTATCTTAGTGGTTGAACATTTGAAATGATTATAGTTTGACCTCGTAAATCACAGGTTCAAATCTTCGTCATGACGATTGATATACATGTTTATTTAGTTTTATTTTAATGTAATTAATAACTTAAAATGTTAAAAATGACATAGAAAATTGTGGAGATTCTGTTATCCTACGTGGCAAAAACTTGTTCCACACCGACCATAATATAAGTTAAGATAAGTGATGCAGTAAAAATATTTCAGACGCCAAGATTGGGACTATTCTCCAGGAGATTCTCACATTTCTTGCTGATCTTGGCAATTTGAAGGTCATGTTCATTGGTGGTAACTTGAACATAGTGGTTCACATTCTGTGGCTCGTAAAAAAAAAACATCAGCAAATAATATAGCTTTACTGTAAATAGAAAATATTTGTCTCTTGTGATTGCATTTTCATCGATCACAGATAACAAAGGCAAATATAATTTTGGCATCCCGCGCCGTCTAGATGGACCTGAATTAAAGAAGACGAAGTAGACCCGACCCGACTCACTAGTTTTAGTTTGGTCAGTGTTGACTGTTGAGGGACTGTTGACTAATAGGGAGGAGGAGGAAAGGAGATCGTTTTCTTTTCCTTGGTAGCAATGATGAAATGGACTTCAAGACGGGCCGGGTCACGGTGGCTGCTGCATGCAATCCAGACTTTAATTCGTTAACAAATGGGGCGCGGCATTGGGGTGAGATTCCGTTGGTAGAGTTGGGAGAGATTCCCTATTGAGTCTTCCCAAAGCCAACAACTACAGCAAGCCCTTTGTGCCACTCTCAACAACTACGTACATGTTAAGACATTTTATCACCACAAAAGAAACTCAAATATGTATTTTGTACATGTGCCAATCGTTACCTACTTAAAATCCAACTACATAGTGTGTTTACCATGAAACCATCACTGGAAGTTTGCTTCCAACGTCGTTGGCGCATTAGATCTAATGAGAGCCGAGATAAATGCAAAAATAAAAGAAAACGACTCTTCTTCCCTACTTGAAGATCTCCAAGGTATTTAATAGAGTTCAAGGTATGAATCATGATCATTTTGGGTTAAATGAGCTATGTGATGTATGAATGAGCTCAATGCCATTTATAGTCACTTGGACGACATAAAAGGTCATCCTAAGTTCAATGGTGGACCCTTCCTCGTCCATCTAATCTCGATCTTGACATGAAAACTTCTTCAAAGTCTATCTGAGTCGGAGAGTATCTATCGTCCACCAATGACGCACATACCTTCGGAGTTAGAAACTATATTCTGTAAGTGCTTGATCCTTGTACGAAAATGAGGTAACCTGGAGACCATAAATCACTGCTTGTTCCATGTTTCGACCTCCTAAAATTGTCAACTCTCATAAGGTATGTGAACATGACATTCTCTCTCTACAAACTCCACAATTTCGGAATATTCAAACTTTACATTAAGGGGTTAGGGCTCCAGGACTCCACTTGACTTGAGGATAATTTTGAGCGGAAAATGCCTACATATTTGTTGTGAATCGTATTGAGAACCTCAAAGTAAAATATCTCACATTCTCACTCAACGTTCTAAAAGGTTCACATCTATCTTCACTTCGGCTCTCATGTATTTTACTAATTCAAGACCCCTAGTACAAATTTGACTATGGCACGACATACGAGGATACTGACTCCTTTTGAAAATAGAAAATCTCCAAACTTTATAAAATTTGATCAATATTTTAGTTGTTACTATCAGGGTAAAATATCTTGGGTAACATTTAAGTTTGAGAATTGAGACATACATACCACTTAAATTTGAATAGGGCGTCGGGTACAACTGAACTCTATTGTTTGTGCACCCGGTACCAGTTAAGTTTAATGTTAAGTGCATTGCGTTAAAGTTAACATAATATTCTTAGAATATTCCGTTTTCCAAATTTCTTAATTGGTCCTTCTACTTTTCTGATTGTAAAAAATCGTTTTGACTTAAATGGTCACAAACCTTTGCACTAAGTACAAAACAGTCACAAACCTTTAATTTGTAACCATTTGGTAACAAAACTTTTTACTTAGAACAAAATGGTCACAAATTAAACAGTGTGACCATTTCATACCAGTTCAAACTTTTGTTACCGTATCGTTGCAAATTAGATTTTTAGTGGCCGTTTTGTACAAATTAAGTTCAAAAGTTTGAACGCTCAATCACCGTTACAATTCGCTCTAGTTGTATGGTGGTTTTGTTAGTATGTGAATGATATGATCGTCATAAAGGATGACAATGAGAGAATTTAATGGCTTACAAACAGGTTCCAGACTGCTTTTGAGTTGAAAAAACTCTGTCTACTTTCTTACTTTCTTGGTATCTAAATTGAAAGGTCAACTGAGGGCATTCTTATTCGGCAAAGCAAATATGTCGATGAACACATGACCTGACATCTTATATGTCGTTCAAGTGGTTAGTGTCATATACTTAACGAACAAACTACCCGACCTCAAAACATGACAAACATTTAAGTTGTAACGATTCGGTAACAAACCTTTGCACTTAAAACAAAACGGTCACAAATTAAATAGCGGTGAACATTTTATACAATTTCAAAGTTTTATTACAGTATTGTTACAAATTAAAGGTTTGTGACCGTTTTGTACTAAGTGCAAAGGTTTGTTACCATTTATGCTAATTACCCGTAAAATATCTCGGGTAACATTTAAGTTTGAGAATTGAGACAGACGTACCACTTAAATTTGAATAGGGCGTCGGGTACAACTGAACTCTATTGTTTGTGCACCCGGTACCAGTTAAGTTTAATGTTAAGTGCATTGCGTTAAAGTTAACAGAATATTCTTAGAATATTCTGTTTTTCAAATTTCTTAATTGGTCCTTCTACTTTTCTGATTGTAAAAAATCGTTTTGACTTATGAAACCATCAATTTTTATTATTTAGTTGGTATCTCTTTTGAAAACTTGATACCAAATTAATTTTTAAATAGAAAATATAGAATTAATTATTATTATAAGTATTTTTAATTATCATTATGTTTTCTAATAATTGAATTATTCCCTGAAGTAAATATATCCTATGAATTTTGTTTAGTTGGAATCCTCTTATGAAGATTCAGATACCAAACCAATTTTTGAATAGGAAATGTAGAATCAATTATCATTATAAGTATTTTCAATTGTTATTATGTGTTATAATAATTGGATTAGGTTCTATTTTAACTATTTTTAATGGTACTTCTAATTGGATTAGGAGTTTAAATAGATCTACTAATATTGATTTTAAATATTTATTATTATATTTTAAATATGTATCATTCTTCTTGATATTTGTTTACTATTTTTACTAATTTATCTATTTTATTGACAATTTTAATTATTCATTTTAGTAATATTATGTTTAGAAGGTTTTTTAATTTCTATATTAGATAAAAACTTGTTGAAATATAGTTTTTGATGATTCTAATTTTTTTGAAAAAGTAATTAAAATTTTGGGTTGGATGTAAAACTTAACGGATGCACATTTTGACGACTTTAATGGTACCCGATGCCCTATTCAAACTTAAGTGGTATGTATGTCCTAATTGTCAAACTTAAGTGATACTTGAGGTATTTTACTCTTACTATCACCAACGGGTTGACATTTTCCCAGCATCTCCAATTGCACAGTCGACAATTGTTCGGATCAAATTGAAGATGTAGCTTTAACAAAAACATTTCATCCTACAAAATTTCCACGCCCGTTTAGAGTGAGTCAAGATTTCTACCCCATCTAACATACGCACAGTCACTTGCGGAATAGAGGGATCAGGCGGCTGCGGGGGTTGTTGGCTGGTGGTCAAAAAAATCCAAAGGTAGGCGAGTTGAGAGAGGAGGGAGACAACGGTAAATCACAATTAACACATTAATCAAATCGCCAAGAGGCCAATTAAGCAGAGACATCGAGACGGCAGCTGCCAGTAAAGCGGACTGAGGAGCCAGGGAAGGAGTGACGAAAAATCCTCTCTCCCGACCTTTGCCCCTCCCCAAAGGATCACCAGCCCTTGCTCTTCCACCTTCATCCAACTTCGTGATCCAATCGATCTTCAAGCAGTATATATAAAAAAAGGAAGGATCCGGGACAGGGAACCCATTTCTCCTCTAAGCTCGCTTTCCCTCGGAAGAATTCGATCGCCGGCGTCATGGCTCACTGTGCGGCGGCTTCTCAGGTAAGTAACGTTTACCCCGTTCAACTCCTCCCAAGCTGTTTGATTTTTCGTGTTTTCTTATTTGGCTGACTATCTTTTCGGCTGGGTTGTCAACGAATTAATTGATGGTGGTTGCTGCAGATTGCCTTGGCTGTTCCAGTTGGGAGCGATTCTACGCTCAGGAAATCGGTGCTCAAGGTGATGACTTTAATTTTTGGGTTCTATTGTTTATGGGTTTTATCATCAGGGGAGAATCCTTTTAAGTTTCTCGTGCAGTTCTTAGGGAAATAATCGTCGTTGTCGTGTTAATTGGTTGTTTATGATCCATTTCTGTTGCTTTCATTTTGTTATGAGAACATCAGCAGTCCTTTTCTGAAGAAGTTGGATCCTTTTTCAAATTTGTGCTCGAGTTTTGTCTTCTTGGTCATACGCACTAAGTTCTGATGCCGCTTCATTTGGTTCTGGTTGCAGACAAGCAGCATCAGCTTCAGTGACAGATCATGGGCTCCTGCTCTGTCACTGGATTTGAAATCGAAGACAAATGGTCGATTGCAAAGTCAAAATGTTGTGTGTATGTCAGTGCAACAGGCTAACAAATCTAAGGTTGAGGTTGCACCTGTGGAACTCGAGGATGCTAAAGATCCCCCTCTGAATCTGTACAAGCCTAAGGAGCCTTACACGGCCACCATTGTGTCGGTTGAGAGGATTGTCGGCCCCAAAGCTCCCGGAGAGACCTGCCATATTGTCATTGATCATGGTGGCAATGTTCCATACTGGGAGGGACAAAGTTATGGTGTAATACCACCTGTAAGTCATATATCATTTATCTTAATCTACTTGTTATGCTCTAACCATTTCTAGTTGCTGTCGCACTGAGTTCTTTCCTATTTGTTTCTTGCATCTGTCATTTTTATTTACTCGAGTGTGCCCGAAGAGTAAGAGATAAAATGTTAATCAATGGTGGATACTGAAAAGCTGCTGCCTATAACCATGGTTTCTCATCAATTGCTTCTTGGCTATCTTTCAGGGTGAAAATCCTAAGAAGCCTGGTGCTCCCCACAATGTCCGACTATATTCAATTGCATCAACTAGGTATGGAGACAATTTTGATGGCAGGACGGGCAGCTTATGTGTTCGTCGTGCTGTCTATTATGATCCCGAGACTGGGAAGGAGGATCCTTCAAAAGCTGGTGTTTGCAGCAACTTTCTTTGCGACTCGAAGCCTGGGGATAAAATTCGAATAACTGGTATTACCTTGTTTATTTCTTCTTTCCTAAATGACTAACAATAACAATTAACAAATCTAGGTCAGCTTTTTTCTTGAAATTGACTGATTACCTATGAACTAAAGCAAGTGGTCCCTCAGATGCCCCTCATAGATGTGGACTTGGAATGTGATTGGTAAATTCCTATTTGAGTGACCTTTTTTGTTCTTTTGCTAAGTAGATTCTAATCTAAGTGATGCTTAGACATGAATTTGTATGAGAATGTTATGTGATTTATTGACATCTCATATTCCAATATTTAAACTCCCCACTCCTCACCAAAATAGTTGATTTAACCACAAGGTAACCTGTGCACATATGAATCCCATGAGGTTGCCTTTTTTTTGAGGGGGTGTCTAGAGTCGGTTGCTCATGATGGCTTGTTTTTTGCATGCTGATTCTCGATTTAATTGTGTCAACCAGCATCATCTTTTGCTGTTTTATTGTCTAAAATGCCCCCCCTATCTGCAACTGATTGACTTCGAAACTACTGCTGCCAGGACCTGCTGGGAAGATAATGCTTTTGCCCGAGGATGACCCAAAAGCCACCCACATTATGATTGCTACAGGCACTGGAGTGGCTCCATACAGGGGCTACCTCCGGAGGATGTTCATGGAGTCTGTCCCGAAGAAGTTTGAAGGCCTTGCATGGCTTTTCCTTGGGGTTGCCAACACCGACAGCCTGCTGTACGACGAGGAATTCACCAAGTACCTCCAGGAGTACCCTGATCACTTCCGGTACGACAAGGCCCTCAGCAGGGAGCAGAAGAACAAGAACGGAGGGAAGATGTATGTTCAGGACAAGATCGAGGAATACAGTGATGAAATATTCAAGCTGCTGGACAATGGCGCCCACATCTATTTCTGTGGGCTGAAAGGGATGATGCCTGGAATCCAAGACACCCTGAAGAGGGTAGCAGAGGAAAGAGGAGAAAGCTGGGAGGCAAAGCTGTCGCAGCTGAAAAAGAACAAGCAATGGCATGTGGAGGTCTACTGATTGTTTTGTGTTATGAACTGTACTAGGGAATTTGTTGGCCGGATTCATTGTTGAACCTGATTATTGTTAGCTGCTTTCTGGTGGATCTTTCTTCTGTTTTGTTTGTGTAATAAGTTAATCAACTAAGAGTTGAGACTTTCCCCCACTTATCTTTGTTTGCTTAGATCTCCCCAATCTGGGGTTGAGCTATAGTTGATTAAGACATGTCGGAGGTATTCCCACTAGGCACTGCACTGGGAAGCTGCCAGCCACCAGTATTTCATAGGTAGAATGGAAGTGGTTATATAAAATGGAGCGCAGGCGACATAACAGTATGTAGTTAACTATCATCATCGAGAAGCGGTTAAAATACTAATAAGTCTTGGCTTTGGGAGGATTTTTCCGTCTTTAAATATCCAAATTCATACCAGCCACATATCCATGTGATAGAGAATTTGCAATTGCATCTCGACATATGTGGGTTTACTGGTTTAGGGTACCTGTGGGTAATATTCGTCGTGTATATTCAATAATATTATACCTAGAATTCAACATATAGATCTTCAGTTATAACACTAAACGAATCTAATAAATTATGAAATCAACAAACTACAATTCTTAATAAGAATTCAAAGTATCAAATTTCAAAAAATATATATTGATCCATAAAAAGTAAATATTGTGCAAATCATTCATATCCAACTAGGACACATCTACTAAGCAATAAATAACTAACATAATCTTGTTAACAAAAGGGGGAAAAGCGAAAGAGTGAATGGTTAATGGATGAAAAGAAATTACTAATTAGTGTTTGGTTTGAGTGGTCACTCCTTACATTTCACCTCATTATTTTTTGAATTACCAATCCTGTCATTGATAAATTAAAATATGATCCATATATTTTTATATACAAAACTATACTATTGGTGAGACATCTATATGTATGGGGCGAGGAGTCTAAAACCATTTCCGCCTCATTCTCATCAAAAGGTTTTGCGTATTTTATCCATATTAAGTAAATACTGGATTCTCCGGACTTACTGGACATGGAGCGAGTATCTCGCATTAGCTAGGTTAGAAACGATTGGGTACCCGCAGTGATGGGTTTGATGCGGCCCAAATGGCAATAGCCCAAATGTAATTTAGGGGTCGTTTGGAAGTTGTGATTGTTAGAATTGTGTTTGTTGAATACATGTATTGTGCACAATACAATGTTTGGAAGTGTCAAAATGTAAAACAATACAAACTCATCACTGCGGGTACCCAATCGTTCCTAATACAATGCATCCTTCAGGATAAGAAAAAGCCTCCACACCAGCCAACAGGTGGCAGTTATTCAAGCGCCAGCCGACTCTTCCGATCGGAACTACCATCGATCATCAGCGACACCGACGTCGGCAATTAACGGACCCAAGGAAAAAGAAACAGAGAAGGCAACATAACTAAAAGCAATGCTCAGTTAGGGAGAGTAAGGGGTCGTTTGCTTCAAGGATTTGGTACATGGATTTGGTACCAAAAAACCAACTATCAAAGATTTAGGTACAATCCGTTGTTTGCTTGCACCTTCTTTGGAGACCAAATCCGCGGGGCCCATAGATTTTAAGGGTCCAAATCCATGGACCCCACGGACTTATAAATCCTTGATGAGATTTTACCCATATACCTTCATGCACTTTTAATATTCCAAGGTTGCCCTCAAATTTAACTATTATACATTATAATTAACAATAAATGAATAATATAAACGTTCAATTAATGTGCAAACATGAGTTAGATTTTTTATATAATTTCTTGTGTTCTAGTTTTCTTTGACCTTTTCATGGAACGTGTAATTTTTTGTTCTCCCGATTCTAATATATGTTGTTATATGTCACTTTTGAAAAGGAGGACAAAGAATTGGTAATTGATTATGTTACGTTATAAGTTAAAACGAAATTTTCTCGTTTATTATTATTGTCCATGTGGCAACATTATGCTTATTAGTATATATTGTCCTTGTTTTGTGTACATATCATAAATATGTCAAACATATAGAAAATTATAGTCATGTAATTTTGAAGTTTTGTCCTTGTTTTGTGTACATATCATAAACATGTCAAACATATAGAAAAGGGTAGTAATGTAATTTTTGACTTCAAGTAGTAAATTCCACACCTTTAAATCCATGATAAAAACATCCCAACAAACAAAGGATTGTTACAAATCCATGATGCCTCAAATCCTTGATAAATCATTGGATTTTTAAATTACAAAACCCTCATTTTTAAATCCACGAAGCAAACGACCCCTAAGAGAGAGGGAATCAATTGGGAAGATCCATGGAGATTGAGCAAGGGGAACAGATCTGAAGGGACCGGAAAAGCATTTCAAGAGTTGCAAAAGGCAGAGAGCAAAAAGAGAAACCAACAACCACAATTGGCATTTGGCAGAGACGTCCACTACCGGCGGAGCCGCAAATCAGTGAGATGGTTGTTGGGAAGGGAGAGCTCTTTGAGCTCATTGAGCCGGCCGATTGCCGACGCGAGGGTGCCGAAACCAGCCTGGTGAGTGGTGATCCTGAGCTCATAGGTGTCTTCGGCGGGAGAGGTGCAACGCTTGTAGAAGACGTCGTGAAGGTTGAAGGGGGATTCAACCATATTCTAGCCAAGAAAATCCCGCTTACCGGGGAAGGGTTGTTGTCCCTCTCCAGTCTCCATCCTCGATTTGGTGTAGGGAATTATAGATATAAGTTTTATTTTTTATTTGTGAAAATGATGTGGAAAGTTTAAATTATTAAATTATATTTTTTTATTAATTTATAATTGCCACATCATTTATTTAACGGTCAACTATAAAAGTTGGCTACCACATCAGCAAAGGTTAACGGAGACTGACCAAACTTAAATTATTGACCTAATTTCAATAATCATGAATTAAAATTAAATATTTGTAGTAACCAAACCCGAACGTATACCAAACCTGCAATTTACCCAAAAGAAAATGGTTCCATAAGTAAGAAAAGCCAAATGATAATTTGGCATCATTAATCGAAACAAGCAATCCAACCTTGCCTTCTTCTGGCCCGTACCATTCTCCAAAAGTTCGTCAAATGCATAGCGCAGATTGAAAGATTGTGGTGGTCCTTTTCCCCTTTCCCATATCTGAAAGCAACCCCGCTGCACATTTCCCGTAATCGTTTCCTTCTTCTTCCCCATCTCTCTCTCCTCTTCCCCCGGCCGGATGAACAGGCGCCAAAACAAGTTTGCCCTGGAACGCGACCTAATTCTCTAGTCAGACATTGGGATTTCGCCGCCGGGAATTTCTCAGGTCAGCTTATTTCTCCTCCTTGCCTTCCGTTTTGCAATTTGTTTTCTCTCATCGTTACCCATTTCGTGTTTTATGCTGTATCCCGTTCTCCCCTCCCCTGGAATGAGAAAACGAAAAGTGTCGACCACCTTTGTTGCATTGCCGGTGACTGGATGGATTTAGATGGGTGGTTGCCTGGTTGGAAATGCAAAATCTTGCTTTTGCTTTCTGATGCCTTTTGCCGACGAGCCTTTCCTTTGCTTTTGTTAAGTTTATGATGGATCATTAGCGAATATAGGGAAATGATCGCATTTTTCATGCATGGGATTATGGAATCTGAATTCTGGGTTGGGTTGGTTGAGAGTTGGCGAATTGCACTTAAATGGGAAGATTCCCAAAGTTGCAATCTTTTGGATTGTGCTTCCTTGGGTTGTTTCGTAAAGGGGAAGAAATGTAAGTTCCCGGTTAATTTCTCTGGCTTTTGCACCTCTTTTGAGACCCAATTAGCAGCAGAAGACCAGGATCCTGCTTCGAGAAATCCTAACATCAAGATATAAATTGCGTCTTTCATGTCATAATTTGTTAGGTTTAGCATGAGACTCTAAAATTTTGGTACTCGATTTCCTCTCGGATTGGACAGTGGCTTCAGATGTCCTCAATAGATCAAACTGTGTTCCTAAAGCTTAGTTCTTGATTACACCATGGTGGATATCGTACCAAGTCTTGTATCATCGTCCTTCCTTTCATGTGCTTTTTCACTTACTCTTTCTCTATGCATGCTATGCTTTGTGGATGCTGCTGCTTAACCTTTTCTTGCGCACCAGACACAGGCTTTGTTGGATGATCTTTGGATATCAGCAAAGCAATGAGCCGTTTGACAGAACTTCAGAAAAACCCCTCAGGTATATGCTTGCTTTGTACAGTATGCATCCTGGATAGTGCTCCTTGTGAGAGTCAGGAAATTTTTGTTCCTTTCGTCCCCAATACTTCAATTGTTAGTTGATCTGCTGCAGTCATGGAGATGTTTTGAAGTGGCTAAGTAAAAGGAATCTTTTGTGATCATGATTGAATTCTTGAACCTTTCTCGAAGCTTCAGTCTCATTTGTCCTCCGTTAATGCATGCATCGATATGATCAATATAGTATGTTCAGTTCCTTCTGTAATTAACACATTGAACTTCTTGAACCTTTTCCCGAAGCTCAGTCTCATCTGTCCTCTTTAATGAATGCATAGATAATCAATATAGTACGTTATGTTCCTTCTGTAATTAACACACGAATAAGCGAGTGTTTTATCCTCTTGTTCGTTGTCGATGAATGCTAGAGCCTATAGGTTTTAGGTTGCTGAACTTGCGAGACTGCTATCTTTCCCTAAACAGCTTGACATATCTCATTCTCGCTTCTGTGTGATATTTTCATTTCACTGTCTGTTATATTATGTTAGCTCATAGCTAACTGCCTGTTGATACTTTTTGCTTTTGAAGCTAGGAGAAAGTTAAGAGATTTGCAGCAACAAACTGATAACCGGGTGTGTGCTGATTGCGGTGCGCCAGATCCTAAATGGGCGTAAGTTTAAGAACCCTCTTTCTAGAAGTAGCCAAACACGAAAACTTTTTTTTGCTTCTAATGACTCTTAAGTAGACAAGATGAAGCCCATAGTACCGGATTTCCTGTACATGTCTATGATAGGCCCTTTGATTGAGAAAATGTCTCCAATCTTATTATGTAGGTCTGCAAATATTGGAGTCTTCCTCTGCTTAAAATGTTGCAGTGTACACCGAAGCCTTGGTACCCATATCTCAAAGGTAAGCAAGCTAAAGTGACCTGGACTGACAATATGATTGGATATAACTTCAGTTGACCTCACCTGTGTTAGCATGTGTCCATGCAACTTTGAGTGTCTGCTTGCATATCATGTGTTGTTATGTTTATGCTCTGAAATTACTCTATCTCATGGCCTTGGTTTTTCGTATAATCTCCTCTATTTCATATTATTTTATGCTCCTGATGTAACTTCTTTTTCTTCTGGTCGAACTGTTCCTGATGCAACTTTAATTGGAGTGTGCAGGTGTTGTCAGTGACACTGGATGACTGGACCGAGGAAGAAATTGATTCCATGTCTGAAGTTGGTGGGAATGCGGCTGTTAATTCAATTTATGAGGCTCAAATACCTGACGGTCTATCAAAGCCTAAACCAGATGCCAGTCACGATGAGCGTTCAAAATTCATCAGGTAAAGATGCCCTGAGTATGGATAGACAAGTTGCATAATCCATCCCATTACATTATTTATCTCCATCCTGCTGCGTTCAGTTTGCTATTACATTTTGATCTTGTTGTCTTGATCTCAGTATTTTATCCATAAATGTGAGTTTGAGGGATAGATCCAAATATGCAATTTGGGAGTGTGTGGTGAAGATTTATTGTAGTTGGTACTCAATTATTATTTGTGTAAGTGTTTCATCATCTGCATGTTATTATGTCAGTGTGTTTGTTAAAGATTTGGCTAAGTGCATTTGTGGAGGAGAGTTGGAAATATGCACGACAGTCCCATTTTTCTAGAGTGCATTTCCAAACAATTCATTTCATACCCCAAAGTACATGAGTTGCATAACTTCGACGCGTAGATTGCTTGCAAATTTATCTTCTCAGACACACCCCATAAAACGACATCATTGATAAATCCTTTTCATTGATTTGACGCAGATCTAAGTATGAGCTTCAAGATTTTATGAAGCCTAGCTTGCGAATGTCATCAGGAAAGTCTGCTGTATCTGCCCAGTTAAGCTTTTCTAGGAGGATAATCGATACATTCCGAACCGCAAGTGAAGCTACGGTAATCGTCACTCTGCCTTTATTTTTCTCAAGGTTTAAGTAACAATATGAGTTCCCCCTCCCCTTTTAAATGGAGGTCCATAGAACTTAGAAGTTCACTTTACTGGGATTGTGAAAGCTAAACCTGTTACTCAGCTTCAACAAACAGTTTGTTATTGAGGACCAATACCCTCTGAAAAGTCATACTTGATATGGTTTGACGTAACCTGTCATTAGAATTCACGTTCTGTTGCATTCTAGACTCTAGTAATTGAGTTCGATTAGGAAATTCAGTAACAAAGACTAGTTCGTTTGCCGTGACAATTATGTTCAGTTGAATTAACTCTGACAGCTCTGCCTTCAGGATGGCATGGTAGAATTCATAGGTTTACTGAAGGTGAAGGTTGTGAAGGGTACAAACTTGGCTGTCAGAGACATGTTGTCAAGCGATCCTTATGTCATTCTCAATCTCGGTAAACAGGTTGGTAAAGTTAAGCTTCACACGACCTTGTTTCTTTCTCGCTAATTTTTGACTTCTTGAAACTGTGTTTTCATGTTTGCTAGACTGTCCAGACCACTGTAGTTAGGAGCAACCTGAATCCAGTATGGGATGAGGAACTCATGCTCTCAGTTCCACAAGACTATGGTACTGTGAAGTTGGTAAGCATTTTCTCCCTTCCTCGATGACGAAAGCCAAAGTAGAGAGAGAGAGAGAGAGAGAGAGAGAGAGAGAGAGAGAGAGAGAGAGAGAGAGCATTGTAGGTCTCTAACGAAAACATGTTTTGCTGCCCAACAAACTGCAGCAAGTGTTTGACTACGACACGTTCTCTGCTGATGACATAATGGGGGAGGCAGAGATCGACTTGCATCCATTGATAAACTCGGCGATGGCATATGGGGACCCGGAGATGTTTGGGAACATGCAGATCGGGAAGTGGTTGAAATCAGACGACAATGCTCTCATGGACGATAGCACAATAAACATCGTGGATGGGAAGGTGAAGCAACAAGTGTTTTTCAAGCTCCAGAACGTAGAATCTGGGGAGTTAGAACTAGAGTTAGAGTGGTTGTCTCTGGAGCAATAAAGCAAAAGTACATATATTATCTACATTCATGCATTCTTATGCTGGACAAAGAAGAAAGGAAAGGAAAGAAGCTGGTGAAGTTCATCGTTTTGGACAGTTGATGAATCCATGAGAAGACTTGTACTATTCTGTGGTTTTCCTTCTCCTTTCCCTTTTTTCCAATTTTCGTGTTAACTGCATTGGCCATGTATATTTATTTGTCCTACCCAGTTTCATATATTTATTTGATCATAGCACATGCCACATTATATATGATCGACTTGTCCTCGAACTTCATGTCTATAATCGGTGTCATGCAAAAAAAAGTTTCTTAACAACTCGAATTATCACGACCTGAAAACTTAAAGTAAAGGAAGCCTTACTCCCAATTGGAAGAACTTTTGGAACAAACTTTTCTTTAGAAAGTGGGTTTGGAATTTCGTATGAGTTAAGGAAAATACGGGCACCTTTTACAGCTGGTGGAGAGACGAAGCTAGTTAGGGTCCTACAGGAGTGGGTGGAACTCCGAACGGCCTTAATTTAAAGGGCCAACTGCCCCACAATCCCACTGGTTGCCAATGCCAAGGGGAGACAATGACATCAATTTTGATCATCAAATATCAGTCTCTGTTCACTAATAATACCAACTAATTATTAGCTAATATATATGATTTCCTTACCGGATAAGGAAATAAACTCACTTACACATCACCCGAAAGAACCTGTAACTGAATTCGCCTTTAGAAAGAAGATGGATCATAAGAAACCAAAAAAGATTAAAACTTTCTCCTGTTAATCAACCATGTACAGTGGACCCGAATCAATCCAGCGACGATTACAGAGGTTAAAACAGTGATTGAAACAAATTACTTCTGATCGGTGGTAAGTTTGGGGACAATGGCGAGGGTGGAAACATTGATGTTGTTGTTGGGAGTGGAATTGGTCGTACTGGGAGCTGCTGATGAACCCATTAATGCCGCCGCCGACGATCGTCTCAGTGCTCGCCGCTTCACCAGATAGACGGCGATGGAAGCGACCAGCAGAACCACGCCGGCGACTCCGCACGCGACGCTCCCGATCAGCAGGGCCTTCCTCACCCGATCTTCCGACTTCCACCCGCTCACGCTCCGCCACCACGCCTCGTCGCTCGTGTTCATTGCCCTCGGCAGTCCCACCGACGGCGAAGCGGCGGAGGAGTTCGGTGACGATGAGGATTTCAGTGACGGTGGCGTGTTGAAGAACGACTTCATCTCCGGCGACGGCCTCTGCCTCACAAATGGAGAAGTAGTGCTCTGCTGCTGGTGGTAGTACCCTAGCCCGTGGTACGACGGACGCAATTCTCTGGCTGACGTCGTTGGCCGGAGGCCAATTGTCAGAAATGCCGCGTAGACGGCCAGCAGCTTGGTCGCCATCACCGGCGCCGTGGAACAGAGCATTTTCCTCAGGAGGGGAATGTGGATCCGCCTCTGTTTCAGTCTCTCTCTCTCTTGATGCAGCAGAAAGCTTCTCAGCTGGTCCCTCACTTGATGATGGGCAAAGAGGGGAGAGATAATTCCTTTGGATCCTTCTCCCTCTTTAATGAATTTAATCAAGTGCAGGGCCGGGGGAACTTGTGGCTGGCTTCCTGCTCAACGTAACCAGAGGGCGAGGGCTTTTTTGGATTCTAGACGACAACAGTAAAGGAGAAGGGACTCTGATTTTGCGCTTTAAAGGAGGAACACGGGTAAAGGGGGAGGGGGAGGGGATCCAGATGCTGTGTGCTCTGCTCTCTCTACCTAAGCTTTAATTTGGTCACTCTTTGTCTTTGGTTTTGTCTGCCCTCTAGTCCTTTTTGTAAGATGAAAGTTTTATCCTATTTGTTTGATTTGTTTTGAAATACCCTGTATGATTAGGATTTAGAATTCGGTTTAGGTTTTTAAGATTAAATTGAAAATCGAACCGTATACACAGATTAGGTTGCAACCAGATATCAGATTGCTCCAATCCAATTTAGAGAAAGATTTATTTTATTTATTTATTTTTAACATAGACAATTCGAACGAAAGTCCAATCACAAAGTCAGAGAACAGAGTCCAACCACGGGCGAAAGTCGACCAATAGCCGAACTTCCAATGATAGAGCTTGTTTAGCCACAAGATGAGCAACTCTATTAAAATGCCGAGGAGCAAAGAAACAAGAACATAAATCAAAGTTCACGACTAATCATTGAATGTCATCCAGGATGGCTCCTCCCAAGTCGTGCAATGTATCACCCGCCAGCAGACGCCGAACAACCAATTGGGAATTCCCACAAAATTTGACAGAAAGAAAATTTCAGGTTAGACAACAGTTCATAGCATCACGCAAGGCCAATAATTCCATAATAAAAGGATCTTGAATTGCGTCGTAGTACTTACCGAACCCGAAAAGGATAGCACCCGAATGGTCAAATCCCACGAAGCCAGTTCTAACTCCCTGGTCTTTTTTGATTGATCCGTCAAACCGTACAGTGACAAGAGCATATGGAGAGGAGGGCCTTCTAACTGATGTGGAATGGAGAGTCCCCCCCAACAATGGGCGAGCCATCACCCTTGTGGAAGCTGACGTAGGGTGATCGATAAAGGGTGGTTGAGCTTGAGCTTGTGTAGCATCCCCTCACTCCTCCATTTGTGAGTGGAATTGACAACATAGAGCAGGAGAAAGGTATTGGATTCCCCATGGACATCCCAACACCTTCCTTTCCATACTCGCCAACACAAGAAGACGATCTCAACAATCTGCACTTTAGATAGATGTAAAGAGAAGAACAAAGATTTCCAAGCATCAGTCGGATCAAGAGTCTCCAGTCGGCCTCTTATGCCATCCCGTCCAGCTAGCTGCCACAGTCCCTTGGCTATTATGTACTGGAAGAAGCAGTGTGAGAATGATTCCAGGCCATCTGAGCAAACCGTGCAGACCATATTTGGCACAAGCTTCTTGTCAAACAACACTGTTTGCCACGGGAGGAAACCAGAGACAAGACACCAAAAGAAGATCTTCAACTTAGGTGGAGCTGGGAGGTTCCATATTACTTTCCAGAATCTGCAGTCAAAAGGCAAAGTAGCTGGGGGATGTCGTAAGTTAAGCTCATTAGTTAAAACATATATCCGATTTTACCGTATATTCCCCTAACTTCGAATAATGCCATATAAGACGATCCTCGGTCAAATGTAAAGGAAGCGGGATCCCAAGAATGGCCTTGGCTGACTCTGAAGTGAACAGTCTGCAGATTATCTCCCTTTTCCAAGTTCGAGTTTCACTGCAGATTAATTCATTCACAGTCCGTGGAACTTGTGAATTGAGAGGCTGAAGGGATGGTCTTGATGGGGGAGATGTTGGCAACCAACAATCTTCTAAGACTCGAATAGAAGCTCCAGATCCAACCTGCCACCTGAGGCCATGTTTAAGTAGATCTCGTCCTTATAAGATTCCTTGCCAAACCCATGACGGCCTTGAGCCAGGTTTAGCATCAAGAAAGTGGTGATGGGGATGATACCTTGCATTGTATAATCTCCCTAGGCCACTCTCCGGGTGCTTAAGAATCCTCCAAGCCTGTTTCGCAAGCAAGCCAACATTAAACCGATCAAAGTCTCGAAAGCCCAATCCTCCTTCAAACTTACTTTGGCATGCTACTATCCATGAGATCCATCTAATGCCGTTCTCTTTATCTTGCCCTGCCCACGAGAATCTCGAAAGCAGACTATTGCATCGACGACAAGTTAAAGAAGGAAGTCGGAATGAGGACATCGCATACATTGGTCCTGCTGAACCCACAACTTTAATAACGACTTCCTTCCCGGTCAGTGACAATTTTTTTGATTTCCACTCCTAATCCGGTTCGCCAAAGCTTCCTCAACAAACTGGAACGTCATTGTTTTTTGATCCCTGGACTTGAGAGGGCAGTCCAAGATACTTATCGTCGACGCCCATCTTTGTAACCCCCAAGAAGGATGTAATAGCATCGAGGTCCGCATATGAAACATTATTGCTCACACAAACTGTAGATTTATCCAAATTCACACGCTGTCCACTCATTAATTCGTATTCAGTAAGCATATAAAGAAGGTTAGCACATTCAGGAATGGACGCACGTATGAATAAGTATGTATCATCGGTAAAGAAAAGATGAGAAGTAACCGGAGCTAGTTTGTGGACTCGTAACCCATGAAGAGAGGATGAGGCAAGTTCAAAAAGAATTTTCTCAAAAAAGCTTCTGAGTACAAGGCAAACATGAGAGGGGATAAAGGGTCACCTTGTCATATACCTCGCTGCGGTCAAAAGTATCTAAACTCTACCCCGTTCATGAGCACCGAAAAATTAACCGCGGTGACGCAATATCTGATCCATCGCAGCCAGCTCTGAGCGAATCCCATTTCTTCCAAAACTGCAAACATGAAGCTTCATTCCACCCAGTCGTAGGCTTTCTCCATGTCAAGCTTTAGTGCCATCCACTTTTCTTTATCCTGAACCTTAGTCTTCAAGAACTGCATAATCTCTTGAGCAATTAAAATATTGTCAGTAATAGCTCTACCCTTTATGAATCCATTCTGGAAAGGACTAACTATAATAGGCAACATATTACTCAACCGGGTAGCAAGAATTTTTGCTATAATCCTGTACAAAACCTGGCACAATCTCATTGGTCTCATCTAGCGCATAGTGTCTGCATTAGACACTTTCAGAATCAATGCGAGCCACGTATGGTTGATGCTGCGAAGCAATTGGCCAGAACTGAAGAAATTTAGAACTGCAACACAAACATAAACTTCTATATTCACCCAAAATCGTTGGAAGAAGGTTGTCCTGAAGCCATCAGATGCCGGGGTTTGAGTTTTCCCATTGCTGAAAACCCGCTGTATCTCCTCATTAGTGACCGATGATGTAAGTGCTTCGTTCATGCTATCATCCACCACTCTTGGCAGCCCTAATCGTCTCACAAAGGCTCTTAGGTCAGAACAATCAAAAGTGAACAGGTGTTGATAGAACGTAATTGCCACATTCGCTTTTGCATCTTCTTGTGTATGCACAATTCCTTCATCATATTCATCACACAAAGATAAGATGGCGTTCCCCCCGGCATCGCTGCATCATTGTGGGATGAAAGAATCCTGTATTGACATCACCCTTATGAAGCCATCCCACCCTGGATATCTGTTTCCAGTATGCTTCCTCTTGTTGGTAAGCAACTCCCAGGTGGCCTTCAAGCGTCTTAATGTGGTCCCAATCTACTACCGGACTCTCTCTCGCTTCTTCAATAGTCGTTCGAAGTTCACGTATTTGCCTTGCCGAGTTTGGGGTTCCTTTGCTAGCCCATCCCATCAAATCATGGCGCAGGTGCTTTAGCTGTGTTCGCAAATGAATAACATTAATGTAGGAGCAATGCAATTTAAATAAGTTGGATTGAAAAAAATTATAAGGTATCACTTAAAAAACATATGCAATTGACTTTGCAATTCCATTGATGTGGATACTCTAAAAAAAGTATTGTCCGATTTGGTTAAAACCGCAAAAACGAAAAAAATCTTAAAACCCACCATAAAACACCCCCAGCCCAGACCCAATCCCCCAACCCAACCCGAATCTTCCAGACCAACCCGCTGATAGCCCCTGAACCCCACCCCACCCACTCTTATCATTTCCTAACCTTAAACCTCTAATTGCCTTGATTTTACTCTACATCACGAGTGACTCACCCACCCTCTCGCAAACCATGCATCCAAATTGCCTTCACTCTATTTCACTCTATGCTCTGATGACCACAAATCTGAGAAACAGAGACAACGACTGACGATTCACCTACGCTCTCGCCTGCATGCAAGGAAAACTCTGGCACCCAATCTCATACCGGAAATCCGACCTTGTTCTCGCCATTTTATGAAAAGACTGTAACAAGTCTCTTGCTTAAGACTGTTGGCTCATAAAAAACAACCAGGTGCTTCTACTAAATTTGTCCACCACAATGAGAAAGTATATAAAACCATCGTGTGAAACAATCTCAACTGGTCCCAATGTCGACATGAACTACAACAAATTCAACCTTATCAACAAATGTACTCTTACCAAAGGGTAACCTCTTCTATTTAACCAAATGGCAAATTTCACAATCAACATTGTCTGGCAAAAATACTTCACCTGATTTATTTTTAATAGTCTGTAATCTAGGTAAAGACAAATGTCCAAGTCTGGCATGCCGCAACTCAGAACTTGAACTTTGACTAGTGCTCACTCCAAGAATGTGTGGGTAGTAAGTCTCTCAAAGTGAATTGTCTTCTCCAAGTAAGTATAACTCTCTATCTACGTTGATCAAATCAATCTTTTGTTGAGATATGAAGTCTTGAACCCAACAAAAGGTGGATTGAAAAAGAAGGGAGATAAGGTTCTTTGTATGTTGGATAATGAAAATAAAATTGTAGCTGAAGGAAGGTAATATCAAGACATTTGTGAGACATAGTCTACAATACAATTTGACTATCTTATATGTGTCACTATGACTTGATGTCCATAGGGCAGGGTTACAAACATGTTTCTAACTTCTTTACATCTAAGAAACAAGTCAATTGAATATATAATATGGTCACTGGTTCTAGTGTCCAGGTGCCAACACTACCTTCACTAGTTCCTTTTGAAACAAAATAGGCAGTCATACATGTCATTGCCACAAATAAATTGGCCTAAGATGACAGAGGAAGTGATTGATGCTGATGTGAGCCTTGAAGAAAACTCTGAAGCCTATTAAGCTCTTATGGTGTGAATCATGTGAACACTATTTGATTCTATGAATACATATGAAGGACTTGCTCTATTGTTGTTCCACTCTCCTGTGTTCACATCAACAAATTCACCAAAAACATTTCCTCCGCATTTCTTGTTAAGCTTCCAATAATCTTAGATAACATAGTTATCCTTTTTGCAATAACGACATAAAAGTCCTTCCTCATGATTTTCCTTAGGCCCCTTGTCCTTGGACAATGACAACTTATTCCTGGGAGTAGCTAGTGCTACAGCAAGAGCAATAACTTCTTTTGATTTGCCTGTATTTGAATTAGCTCCATTAATCTATCTTTCCAATTGGACAATAGAACTATAAACATTGTCTAGATCTGACATATGATCTATCATTAACATTTGTGTCTTAACCTATTGATATTTCTCATTCAGACCTAATAATCACTTTTCCTTGCTCTTGATATTTCATACAGTCTCATAAGTCATAGCAACACAATCACAGTGTGGTATTTGTAAATAGCTTTGGTGTTCATCCCACGGTAGCTTAAGAGAAGTGTAATACTATATGAAAGTTTGATTTCCTTGCTTAGCCAAATCAATCTTCTAGTATGGATTAGTAATTCTTACAGAATCACATGGCTAAATTTAAATTTGAGATAATTCTAAACTTCAGATGCTATCTTAATATTCCTCTGAAACAAAATTCATACTCCAACAAACCACAGCACCAATCAGCCTATCTCATGTACCATACGAATGATAAGAGACATCTGGTACATGACTTGTACATAGGATAAAGCCTAGCTTGTTCTTTGTGTGATGAAGACAGCACAATAGAGGTTTAGGAGAAGCAAATGGGTGAAAGAAGAAAGAGGGAATTAGATCGGCAGCCAACCAAGCTATTATACCATGAGAGAAAGATTGAACCTAGTACGGAAAACGATTAGGATTTGTGTGAATTTGGCAGTATCCCTTTTCATCTGTGAATTGTTGTACATATGTCCAGACTGAGCGGAGTTATTGTATATTAGTGGTACTCTGCTAACTATTAAACTAACAAATAGAAAGTAGCGACAAACTTGAACACTAATTCAACTAACTAATTAGCCGAGCTAATCACATGACAGTCAACTTCAATATACTTTGTCCGTCACTGACACACTCCCATCCATGGAAGCCCAAAATGATCCATTGAAGCTGGTCACATGCACTGTCCCCCACACGGGTCCAGGCACAGCAAACAACAACCACTAAGTGAGCTTGCATTTTTTTTATAATAAGGATGAAAATGAAAGCTCCTTATAATTCTGCTAGGCCGCCACGAAAGGATTGGTTTTGGGCGTTTAGCTGTTTAATGGAGATAATAATAGATCAGCTTAGCGAGATAGTCAAAAAGGAAGAACATAGCGTGACCCGTTGTCGGGGGACCGGCGCCCGCTGGCTTCGGCGAGCCAGAAAAGTCTAAAAGCTCCGCCGCTTCCTTCTTTGTCCTCTCTCTCTCTCTCTCCACAATCTGCTTGGTCGCTATATCACGAAACCCCACTTTAACGACCAACTGTTACAATATGTATACAGGGAAAGGAAGGCTCAAGCCACGAATTTCGTACGTGGGGTCCAAGAGGATTCGGAGGGGAAAAAAGCAAATATTGCTGCAGAAGCAAAACCAAATCATTTGGCGACATTTGGGGCTATCAGATTAATTCGCTTTGCTCCGACGTCCCGTCGTTCGGTTTTCTGTCGACAAGTTATAAAGGCAGAGGAGCATCAGATTTAAAGCGACAGAGACGTCAAATTACTCGTTAATAATTTGGGGCTGGGGATGATTCTTCATTCTTGCATATGTTGCTGCTGGCTTCTTGTATCCGAACAGGGGAAGACCGGTATGGTGTAATCAATGTTGGGACTTAATGAAAGGCTACCAAAGTCATGTATTTCAAATCGGTGAAGGAGACTTATAATTCACATGTGAGTTAGGATCCTATGTTGGATTTGGAATGGGGGAATGAAATAATTGTACTTGAGGCGGATAATTTTTTTCCGATTGCGATTTGGGACAAATTAAGAAAATCGAGGATAATCAACAATCGGAATAATTACGAAAATGTAAAAGCTAGAACACGCGATGTTTGTTATTGAGGTTTGTGCATGGTGCGATGCGTTACTTCTCCGTTCAAGGGAGGCTTTCCTTTGAGACCTACGCTCTGAGTTGAAGTTATTCCAATCTAACCACAATGTGATGCTCTTTGGCCGAGAGTCAAACTCTTAACAATTGCGAAGAATATAAAGCTTCTAACCTCTCTACTACCCTAGCTCGAACTCACTTGGATCAAGATTAATAAATCATACTATCAATCAATTTCATAAAGCACTCCGTGCTTTCTCGCGGTTGTCAACCTAGAGACGTTTGTTCCCTCAACATGAAGCTTTCTCTGATTATTTTCTCAACCACACTTTTCTTCTCCTTCTTATAGTCTCGTTCTTCTTCTTTCAAAATCCTTCCATACGTACACGAAGACTCCTTTCCTGAAATATGGAAGCTAAACAAAGCAATTGCATATTTCATACGGAGCAGATCCAGTTAGTAACAAAATGTTGCATAACCATCTCATTAACTGGCCATTGGAGAGAGATAACTTTTTCCCAATTTGATTTGATTTCGTATTAACTGAATCGATGCTTACTTATACTAATGATCGATAGTTTACTTCAGTCTAATCGGATCGCCCTAATTGACCGAGGTTTCCACAAATTTTATATGCGCAATGTCTTTATTGTATTCTTTTTCTTGCTCTTATATACGAATTTTTCATCACCCATTAATACATCATCAAAATATGGATTTACTATAAATATAATTTTCAGTAATAAAAAATGAAAAGGTGATAAGATGTGATTTTATTTTTCATCCTTATCCATTTTATTTTTTTTTCTTTCCTTTAAACATATTTCCACATTTGGGTTTTTCCCTTCATTTCATATTTTCCTCATCATCTTATCAATAATTTAGAATATAGCGGAATATAAAAAGAAAATACTTAACGATACCCTAATTCATAAAAAATACGCATTAAAATTTTCATTTCACTTGTATAACATTCATTTGAACAAAAAAAAAACCATTATTAAAATCACATAACTCTGTTTTATGCTCGACATAGAAGAAAACTAAACAATATTATTAAAGACTTTTATCTTCCTAGATTGACTAGGGATTGGAGTCAAAAGCATCGGCAGGAGGGGGTTCAGGGGAGTATAATAGATGATCAAGTGCATCATCCTCTATTCCATCGCCTACTGGATAATTCTGAATCAAATTCATCGGTCCCATATTTTGCGATTGTCCAGCAACACCAGATGAAGAAGAAGGAATACATGCACTATTATTTCCATGGCTCGTTGTTTCTGTCCTCCTCTTCTCAATCCTCTCCAACAATTCCAAGTAGGAACCTTTGAGACCTGAAATCTCATTCACCTCCACTTCCTCCACACGTCGGTTCCACCAATTGTTCAGCCGCTTGCCCTCGAGCTTTTGGTGCAGCACCATCTCTTCCTTCTTCTTCTCCTCCACCGAATCGAGCAGCTCCTTCAGAGTATGGTTGAGCTCCTCGATCCTGGTGTTGGTAAATCAGAAATACAATGGAAACTAATGTGTATTATTGTTGAAACTACATAAGATTTTTTTATATAAAGTACAGAGACTGATTTCTATAATAACTTGTGTGACTCTAATGAGGAATATAACGCTGACCAATTATATGACAATACTCGTAGGATAACACAATACTATTCGTACGGACAAATACTCTAATACCTGGCTCGTCTGAAAATTTCCGGATCGTACGGTAGGTGAGGCTCCTGTTGGTGGCCCATGTACCGATTTGCGAGGTCTTCGAACGAAGGATTTCCGAATGTGAAAGGTTTTCCGCCAGGAGAAAAAATCAGGAAGCCTACCTCACTGCCCGTCAAGTTGACGAGCTCGCTCGCTTTCAAGTAGATACCCCACCTGCGTTTTGAGAAGGTGGGCATCAAACATCCTTCTTTTTCTATCTTTTTCATCTCGATCTTTTGTTTTCCTTTTTTTTTCTTAGCGACAGAGTTATCACTGTTGTTGTTGTTGTTGTTGTTTGTGGCCATTGGTGGAACTCTAGAGAATCAAAGGGGTTGGTTGTATATAGAGAGGAATGATATTTGTATCTTTGCTTGATGGTTTTTGTAACATATTTATAGCGTAGGAAAAGTGTAGTGAATTGGAAAATGAAAACAATTCGAGTATGGAAGCAAGTTTTGCAGCACCAATGAAATTATTGTTTTGCCCACCCTAAAGATTTTTTTTTATAACATTATTACCAAAAAATATGTGATTTGCTTGCCATAAAATTATCTATCATAGATTACTTGACATGTATACATTTATGCATCCTTATTGTTATAGATTCATTTACATGTAATAGTTATTATGTACCCAACTGTGAGTGCTTATGTGGCAAATGTTGCACTAATCCGTACTATCGTATGTAGTATACATTATATATTGTACTTTTTGTTTCTTAAAATAGATTTAGTTATCGATCATATGAGGATAAACTTTATCATTATTTTTAACTAGATCGACACAAGTCTTATGTTCTCTCTTCGGAAAGATTAAAAAAGGCTTTTTGTTATCGAACACAAAGGACACGCAACCTCTGACTCATATTATTATTTATTCAAGCCTCAAAGACTATGAAAACTTGCCCATCTGTGCCTTCATCTAGGAGTGTCGAGCTGCTTGCCGTCAGGAACGCCATATCTCTACTACTGTCTCGAAGTGTTCCCCGTGTTTTTTTCCCAATGCCAGATGACCTATATTGAGCTGTTACAAAAAGCCACATAAAAAAGAAAAGAAAATAAACATTAGCAATCTTCGACAGAGCATGATTAATTACTCTCATAAATTTGTAAAAGCGAGTAAATCGAATTATCACCCGATCGATCGATGAAACTTATTTCACTTCCTTCAATTATCATATGTGCACCTGCAAAATGACCAACAAAAAAGCACGACTATGGTGCTAGAAATCTCTATCACAAGAGATTAAATCTTGCCCTTAAGGCAAAGTCGATTTTATCGAAATACATCAGGAATGGTATTATTCAACTTTTGTAAGTGCAATACACTCACAATCAATGATGGTGTATTGCTGAAGGTAAATCTTCCCCGCGTTATTATCGAAGGAGATTCTGAAGTGCTCATTCGGTAACTGGACGGTAAATGTGTTGAAGACTCAGTTGGTGCTCCCTTGCTCCGTGACTGTTTTCAATTGTTGCGTTGTTGTTCTTCTTTTATAGCTTTTAGTTTGGCTCTGTGGACTGTCAACTGTGTTGTCCATAGAGTGGCAAAACAAGTCATGTATGTTGCTGTAATATGTACTATGTAGAGATAGCTTCCTTTGACTTTGTAGGGTGGCTTCACTAGGTGTTGCCTATGAGAGTTCTGGGTAGAGGATTATAACTTTTTTACCTTGTCATTACTTGAAAAAGAAGCCTCAAAGACTACGATAATCTCTCATTGAATAAAATATTTAAAAATGGCTCTATGCAATTGATCATGACAACTCAAAGGAGTACCAATTAAGATTTATGATGTGGTACTCTCAACCAATTTCATGTGTCATGTGACTAGTTATTGAATATAAATTCACAACTTTTAATTATACGCAACTGGTTTGGGAGGGTCCATACCAGCTATCAAAGACAAAATTTCCTTTGGGAGCAAACCTCTCAGCCTTGTCCAGTCCCATTCACCCTAATCATTCACCCAAAAAGCGACTGGTGAGTTCCTGTCTTCCTCCTCCAGCTCAACAATCAGGTGGTCTTCAAGGATGATGTTGTTTTGTTTTACGCGAGGTTGCTTGTGTTTTAGTGTGTTTGAGATCCTAACAGGTAGGGCTGCAAACGAGCCGAGTCGAGTTTTTGCTTAGCTTGAGCTCGGCTCGTTTATAAATTTTTCAGCTCGAGCTCGAATTTTGATAAGCCAGCTCGAGCTCGACTCGATAGAGCTCGGTAAATGCTCATTAACATAGCTTGTCAAGCTGAGTACAAGCTCGACTCAAGATGAACTCGATTTGAGATTATTATTATTGCTAAAAATTGTGTACACATAAGAGTTTAAATGATAAAAAGAACACAATAAACTATAAATAACAGCTAACTTTCACACACATTGGTATTAACAAGATAATGTTAATGTTCAAAAGAGTAATTAATCGTTCCACAAGCTCTAAGCAAGCTAGCTCGCGACCTTAGCTCAACAAGCCACCGAGTCAAGCTAGCTCGCGAGCTTATCAAGCTGAGCATGGTCTAGCTCAAGCTTGGCTTGTTTACTAAGGAGCCGGCTCGCGAGCCGGCTTGTTAACTAACGAGCAGAGTGTCGAACGAGTTTTTCCCGATTCGAACGCCAAGTTGCTTGTGAGCGGCTTGGCTCATTTGCAGCCCTACTGACAGGTAAATCCTAATCCGGAGTCGAAAGTTGGAAGAAAAGGAGCAAAGACCGGGCAAAGAGGTGGAGACAGTCGCAGTTCACGACCACACATTGGAGTTCATGGTCTTATAGGATCGTGAACTGGAGCCATGACCCGTGAAGTGAGGAGCAAACAAATGGGATTTGCAAGTTACTGATGCCCAGGCCGTTCACGGTCGCTAAGACCGTGAACAGGGGCCACTGATCGTGAACCCAAGCAAATGAAGCGGTGCATTTTGGTCGCGACACTGAGTTCACAGAAGCGTTTCAATGTTCACGGTCGTGAACTCAACGCGATCTCCCACTTAAAAGGAACTATGAAAGGAAGAAGAAGGGAGGGAGACCTAGAGTGAGAAAACTTCTCCTTCTTCAGATTTTAGAGTGGGAAAGTGACGAACCAAAGAAGAGGAAAAGCTAGGGTTTGATCTCCAAGTTAGGATTTGGGGTTTCTTCAGCACAAGTAGCAAGGCTTGCATCTTCATGATGGTTTTCCTTTCCCTCTTTTGTGTTTTCCCTTCTCCTAGCATGGAGTAGTCTCTTCTTTCACTTGGGTGTTTGTAAACCCTGGCTACAATTATATGAATGCTTGTATGAATTGAATGATTTGTGTGTGGTTGTGTTTCAATGTGAATGTGGAGGTATTATTCAGAAATGATTGTGTTGTGTGAAAGACTATCAATCTAATTGCCATTCTAACCTAGATTAGAGAGGAGACCTCCTTAGGTTAGGAGGTTCATTGGGTGTTCTTGGGCATTTCATGCCTCCTAGGCTAGTTTAGAGAAGAAACCTCCTTAGGTTAAGAGGTTCAATATCGAGATGGGGTTCTTGGGCATTTCATGCCTTCTAGGCTAGTTTAGAGAGGAAACCTCCTTTACCCAAGAGGTTCGGTTTCCTTGGGCATTCAAAGCCTCCTAAACTAGTTTAGAGAGAACCCTCCTTAACCTAAGAGGCTAATTTCGAGATGGGTTTCCTTGGCCATTCAATGCCTCCTAAGCTAGGTTAGAGAGAACCCTACTAAACTTAAGAGGCTCTGCTAGAGATGGGTTTCCTTGTGCATTATATGCCTCCTAGTCTAGGTTAGTTAAAGGGCAAACCTCCTAATTTGTATTAAACACTTAGGGTTTGGTTGTGGGTGGTCGTCCGAACTCCAATTCGAGGGTGAAGTCTAACCATTCCTTAGTCGATAGGTTGAGAGGGTCACATCAGTGGCTTGGATCGCATCCCATTCCTCAACCTAGAGTCTAAGATTAACCTTGGTTGCTTGTTATACTTCCCTGCGGTTTATGACCCCCTAACCACACACGGTCGTTCAATTCTTCAAGTCATAATTGTTAGCTAGGGGGAGCAACACCCGAGTGAAGGTTTCTCAACTAGAGTCAAATCCATTTTACCTTTGCAAAGTAATTTAGTTTTAAACCTTTGTTTTCACCAAAACTGATCCGCTAGATAATGTTTCAAACAGTCGAAGTAGCAGTACATGGACCGGCCCGGGTCGATATTTAAACATACTTTCCCTATATTTCACCCATCTAAGGTTTATACTTGGACCTTAGGTGGGATTTTATTGTGATAGTCAGAGCGAGTCAAGTTTTTGGCGTCATTGCTGGAGACTTCAGTCCGTTATCGTGAAAAATTTGTTTGGTATTAATCTAGCTTTGAATTTCTGTTTTTGTTAAGTTGTGAAGTGTTTGCTTGTGCTATACGTGTTGTGTTCTTTGACTGTGTGTAGGTAGGTGCATGACCCGGAGCAATCCGGCGCCTTTAACACCACTGGACGAGGACATCAACCGGACCCTCCGACTTCTAGATCGAGAGAGGGAGCAAGCGGAGGCAAGAAGGAGAAGTGAAGAAAGGGGACAACAAGTTGATCCCAGAATTGAAGTAATTGAAGAAGGAGTTGTAGTTGAGATGGCGGAAAATCAACACCGATGGGCTAATCCACTTCCAAACCCAAATGGAGAAGCGAAAGCCGTTGAAGGGCCAAGGAATATGGGCTATTACATGGCTCCACGGGCCACGGATATCCAATCTCCCATCTTACATCCACCCGTGGCCGCCAACAACTTTGAGATTAAGCCCTCACTCGTGACAATGATTCATCAAAATGCTTACTTCCACGGGCTATCCCATGAATCACCACGAGAGCATGTCCAAAGGTTTCTTGAGCTAGCGGGAAGCTTGAAGAATAATGGTGTCCCCGAGGAGGCATTACGATTGAAGCTCTTCCCCTATTATTTGCCGGGGAAGGCACTCCGATGGCTCAACAACCATCCGGCTCTATCCATCACCTCTTGGGAAGATCTCCTCAACAAGTTCATGACCCGATATTGTCCTCTTTCCAAGACGGCCGAGTGGAGGAAGAAGATCACTCACTTTGAGCAAGAGGAGGATGAGACATTGAGGGAAACATTGAGGGATGCAATTTCAGATAGTAACTTTCTATGGAGGACTCATTCAAGATGACAAGATCCTTATTGACTCTCTTTTCCAAGGGAGATTGATGAACATGACCCCTCCTCAAGTGATTGAGTTGCTCGAAGATATGGCTCTTAAGGGA